AGGAGCAGCTGGAGAGTTTTCGTGCCAAATGCCAAGAACTCAAAACGGACCTGGATGGCAAGATTGCCATGAAAGTTCACGCTTCCATTGTAAACGAATTGAAAGGGTAAGGACCGAAGTCTCTCCAAGCATTCATGAGTTGCTCCATGACACTATAGGCAGAGTGGAAGAGGTGGCTCAGTTTTTGTTTCATTTTGTCTTGTGACATATCCTCACTATGTTGCCCAGGCTGGGCTTGAACTCCTGGGCTCAGGTCATCCTCCTGCCTCAGCCTCCCTAGTGCTGAGATTACATGCGCCACCATGCCTGGCTCACTCTCAGGCTTCTTACAAGGAGTTTTTCGTTATTACTCATTCACAGAAATTCAGTTAGGATGTGCCTGGCTTGGCCTCTTTATTCTGCTTGAGATCCATTGAGCTTCTTGTGGGTTTGTATGTTTCATCAAATTTGGAAGCATTTTAGCTATTCATTCTTTAATACTGTTTTCTGGTTTGCCCTCTCACCTCTCCTAGGACTGTTTGCTAGTGTCCCATGGACATGTCCCATGTTCGTGCTACCCCCTTCATGTCCTCTGTCTCCTGCGCTGTCTTCACTTTCACTACTCTTTTCTCCTACAGTCTGATCTGCTGTTGTTCGTCAGCATATCAGTCATTTCACATGGTTGGTTTTTGCGTCTCGAGCAGCAGATCCATGTGAGTTTTTTGTTTTCTGTACTTTCCATTTCTCTCTTCATCCCTCTTTTTCTCTGCTCCCTGGAACAGATGGGGCTCGTTCATAACAGCTGTTTAAATCCTTTGTTTGCCAAAGCCATCTTCTCTCCCACGTTTGGGTTTCTCTTCTAATCACGTCACATTATTATTATTATAATAATTATTATTAAATGGTGGCAATGTTTATTTGAGAAAGTAAATGTGAAGATTGAGGGGGGAAACTGGCTCTGCAGAGTGAGCTTAAGCCAAAAAGAAGAGCAAAAGCACGCGTGGTGGACACAGGGCAGGCTCTTCGAGGAAAGCCACAGTGGCCCGGATCACACTGTTCTTACTGCTTGAGTAGATTTTTATGTGGGATGCTAGATTTATTGCATTGCCTTACATGGTGTTAGACATTGGTCTTTTGTACACTTAAGTTTCTAGAGAGTCGCTGGATTCGCTCAGAGTTGATCTCCCTCTGGGTGTCTCCAAAGCAACCTCCTGCCCACCTCTGAGGATTCTGTTCCGTGTCCCTTACAGCATACCTCTTTCCACTCCTTCTGCTGGGCTCAGGCACTATTTGTGGCTGCCGGAAATTCTTCTTCCTCCTCTTCATGTCTAGTGTTTCTTTCCTCAGCTTTGGGCAGTTTCCTCTCACACAGGAAGAGAGCAGTGCTCAGCCAAAGACTTGTGACCCCTAAAGAGCTCCAGTGCCCTTTCTCCCTCTTCTCTGTCCTAGACATTGTCACTGCTATAACCTCCTGACCTTTCTCCCTGACTCCTCAAGAAACAGCGCCCGAAGGTTCTGTTTGGGTGGCAGTGAGGTGAAGCAGCCGTAGACTCCCATGTTTTCCATCTCTGGGGTTCACTGCCCTGCCTCTTGTCCGAAGTCTGAAAAGTATTGTTTTGCAATTGTGTGTGTGTGTGTGTGTGTGTGTGTGTGTGTGTGCGCGCGCCAAAGAGTACATCTGCCCCCTGTAATTTTATCCTGGCTGGAAGCAGAAGTCTATAGTTTCTCCATTGTCCTTTACCCTTTATTGTGAACCCAATTCAGTTATTTATCCAGTAAATAATAGCTAACTCAGTTTTCAATGAAAGAAGAGAATTTTGGATTTTGTGTTTTTAGTCACAGTTGACAAACTAACCTCAAAGTTCTGCATTGTTGGGTATTCCTGCTCCAAAACCAGGTGACCCTCTACACAGCGTGGACAATACCCAGCTGGTGTTCACCAAACAAGTGCCCCATCTGTTTGTTTCTTTTATCATAAAGCATACGTAATCATTATATTATCATGAAGTGAAATTGGTTTTGGAGGTAGGACTGTCTCCTGGCAATTTCAGCCACATAAAAAATTGAACTTTTTTTCTCAAAAGAATAGGATACAAATGAGTGTATATACACAGATAGAAACAAAAACTGGACAGAAAAATGCCGGGGTCAGAGGATCACTATGAAGGAAGTGCATGCGTCCCCCGCAGCTGGCCCCGGGGCCTGGTGGTGAGGTTTCCCTGCACTGTCCAGGTCTCCAGTCTGGCAGCGAAGCCTCCTTTCAGCCTGGGTGCCCTGGATCCGAGCCTGTGATGTCTTTGTCCTTCAGCCAGCTGCGGAAGGAGGAAGAGAAAGAGAGTGAGGAGATGGAGGAGCTGGTAGAGAAGCTGGCGCTCCTGCAAGTGCAGAGAAAGAGCCTGATGGTGCGGAACAAAGCCCTGGAGGTGGAGCTCGGAAGGATGCAGAAGATAAACAGGTTTACACGTTTTTCCCTTGTTTTTTCTCAGTAGTTAAAAAAAGACAACTGAAGAGTAGTTCATTTTCTTTATCTTCTCTTTTTCTAATAGTGACTATAAAATGGTAAGAGTGATAAGGATGAGTGGATATCAGAATATAAGTACAACAAAAGCTTTGCTGTTGCCCAACATTAACCCACATTTCACAAGTCTGTAGTTCAAATACGGTTGGTAGTCATATATGCTGACCCTAAGACTCTGGATGTTCTAGAAGTTCTTTCCTAACCATTTCCCAAATGTCTCTGTTGGGATTACTAGATACCTTTTTTAAAAGTATCTTTCCAGCTGGATGTGGTGGTGCATGCCTGTTTTCTCAGAAATTGGGAGGCTGAGTTGGGAGGATCACTGTGAGTTAGAGGCCAGCTAGGGCCTCTAGAGTGGATTTAAGACAAACCTGAACTATATAGTGAATCCCTGTCTCAAAACACTAAAAAAAAAGAAAAGAAAAAAATATCTTTCTGAACATGAGTCAAAAAGTTAATAGACTAGCCGGGGATTTAGCTCAGTGGTTCCAACACCTGCCTTGCAAGCACAAGGTCCTGAGTTTGATCCTTGGTACCAAAAAAAAAAAAAAAAGTTGATAGAATAATATTTAACTAGCCTATTTATTATAAGACATGTTATGAAACCTGTTAATTTGGAGTCACTTATTATACCTGGTTTCAAATTAAATTATTTTACCTCTTTTTACTTTAAATTTAATAGAAGATTTAAATTGCTGAACAATAGCATTTTAGAATACTTTGATTTTTTTATTTTTAGGCAGTGCTGGTGAGGGCTGGGGATGTAGCTCAGTGGCACCCATGCCTGCTTAGCAAGCGCAAGGTCCTAAGTTTGATCCCTGGTACCACAAAAAAACAAAAAACAAAAACAGCACTCCGGGGATTTAGCTTAGTGGCACCGAGCCTGCCTCAAAAGCGCAAGGTCCTGAGTTTGATCCCTGGTAGAGGGAGGGGGGAGGCAGTGCTGGGGGATTGAACTCAGGGCCTCAAGCATTGCTAGGCAAATGCTTTGCCTCCGAGCCACACCCTCAGCCCCAAGAATAGTGTCTCCATATTTATATGCTTGTTGTTGTAAGACACATACTCACCATGCCCTAGCCATGCAGGCTAATCATTTTTTTAATTCCACTCTTGGTGGTGGTGGTGGGGCTCTCTCCAGGAGATATAAAAAAAAAATTGATGTCCTCAAAAAGCAAGTGGAAAAAGCCACGGGGAACGAAATGTCTGCTCACCAGTACCTGGCAAACCTTGTTGGCCTGGCAGAGAACGTGACACAGGAACGAGACAGTCTTATGTATTTGGTAAGTTTCCTCAGTTTCCTCAAGTAACTTAAGTAAAGTTACGTCAAGTAACTTAGGTAAAGTAAGTTAATAGGCAAAAGTGATTTTTTAAAGTATTTTAGAAACCTCTCTTAAAAGCTCCCTGTTTTAAAATATCAACCATACATTTCCAAATTCTCCAAAATTGAATCTTTTAACCATTGGCAGAAACATTTTTAAAAGACAAATAACCCTCGGTTTTCAGTAGTGGGTTATAGAATATTGTTATAGAAGGTAAACTAAGGGAATTAGTCCATCTAACTCAGTAGGATCAGCAGCCATCACTTGTTTCTTTTATATATGCACCTTTATGCTGTCCAACTTTTTCCCCATTTGAAGATGAAACATAAGAATCATAGGCACAGGGGTAGGGGTGCAGTTCAGTGGAATGTGTGGTTAAAATGCACTGAGATTTTCTGGTACTGAAAAAATTTAAAAAATCAAAGACAGCTCAAATAGAGCTCATCCTATAGACATAGTTCAACAAGCATAAAGATGTGGCTGCCCACACACAAGATATTCCTCCTGTGTTGTTTCCAAAAGCTGCTGTCTCAAGGAAGGGAATCAGTCAGTGATCAGTGTCCCAGATGACGGTGTGGTGCAGCCAGCAGGAGTGAGGTGCAAGTGTGATTCTAGGCATTTCCACGTTGAGTCAGAAAGATGCCTGCAACAGATTGTGCGGCAAAAGATGACCCGTGGTATGCTAAGCATGTGCATGGAAAAAGGCCTGCTAGGATTTATCCCCAACTGTATCAGTGAGCTATCTCCAAGGGGTGGATTCCAGGTGGTCTTTTAAAGTCTTCTTACTTATCTGCATCTTGTTTTTTTCTGCAGTGAATATATATTGCCTGTGAACGTGTATGCGTTAGTGCGTTTGAGCAGTGTTGCAATCTCTGTAGTGTAGGATTACAAGCAGTAGTGGAATGGATGTTAGGACCAAGGAAGCCAGTCGACACTATGAGAAAGTCAGAGGCCAGCAGCCTTGGAAGGAACTTGCCCTTCTCCAGGGCTTAGTGAGCTGTGTTGGGCTCACTGCTACTTGTGGGAAAGTGGCTAATTTCTTCCACAGGAAATTGTTCACATAGGAGGAAATACAGATAGTAGGCAGCTCTTAGGGAAAAATGTATATCTTTATCTTTAATAAAAGAGATACTCATTCAACTAGTATCAAGATCCTGTTCTTTATCTAATGTCATGAAATTTTTTTTTTTTTTGTACTAGGGATTGAACTCAGGTCCTTGGGCTTGTGAGGCAGGTGGCAGAACCACTGAGCTAAATCCCTGGCCCTCATGAAATATTTTTTACAACCCTAGCAGTCGCTCTCAGGAGTGTGGTCAGCCTGGTCATATGTTACTGGTGACTTCTAAGAACTGGAATCTTCTAGAAACCAGTTTGACTTGTTTGGACACGGCATGGCAGGAACCTTGAAAGCACTCAGATCTCCTGGCTCAGTCATCCCCTCCTGAAAAACTCCTGTCCCAACCAAAGTGCTGGCCTTAGTGGTACTTTGTATAACAGCACCAAGTGGCCATTGTTTTCTGCTGTGCCTGCTGACCTCACCCACTTGGACATCCAGAGGGCAAAGCAAAACCTTGTTGGAAAATGTGAAGCAGATGTCCCTGGGTACCTGCCTGCCACATGTCAGTGCCACCCTGAATGCACAGCTGTCTTGTGTGCAGGGCAGGGCGGGCGGGGAGCCCAGTCCATGGAATGCAGGCCTCGTGCCTCCCCCATGGGCCACAGAGTATCATGGGCTTCCATGATGAAGATGGTCCCTGACCCTTACGGTTTTGGTCCCCCTTGAGCCCATGCCTCATCTCTGTGGGCCAGGCCTGGAAATACAAATGGAAGCCACATACTGTGTGCTCAAGTATTTATAAATTGCACATTAAACCAACACCATAAATAAAACGTCCTCCTGCCCTGATCTTTATGATGGCCTGAAAGCCTGGTTCAGGTTCAGAATCTTCAGGCCCCTCTGAGTCACAGCTGAAACAGAGAAAGCTGGTGGAGCTCCTGTCACCAGCTCCAGCTCCACCTGTCACCAGGGAGCTCTTGAGTACACAGAGACAGTGCTATCCAAACAGGGAGGTTCTTGGGAGCTGTACAACACCCGGGACCCGTTGGCCCTGAGGTGCCAAGGCCGCCCCTCTAGTCCAGGACCAGGGCTGGCAGTGGCTGCCCCGCTGCCCTCTGCCCTGTCTGGGTCTGAGCCATGTTCTCCTACCTTGTCCCATTTGGGTCTCCGGGCCCCAGGAGAGACCCCACCTTCACTCTCGCATGTGCACTCAGCCCGCGGCAGCCCCACTCAGTTCTGGGAGGGCCTGCTCATTACCGGTGGCTAAAATCACTGCCATTCCCGGGCACCATCTTCCCATCTCTCATTTATCAGGATTCTATGGGAGACATCATACTCTTTGATTCTGACATCTTGATTTCTAACTGAGGGTTTCGATATTTACTTTCCTGTGTCTTATCTTTCTTTTCTAGAAAGTCAAACTGCCACCACTAGGCTGCTTCAGAAGGAATGCTCACCTTTACTTTTTCTTAAATTTTAGCAACTGCAATAAGGAATAGTGTGTGGTAGTTCATTTCCCATCTGCACATTAATTTAACTCACTTGGCTTCAAGTGGTGCCCCTCTGGAGACTCTCTCTGGCATTCTTGGTGTGGAGAACAGCATTGTGTGTTCATGTTATTATCTTTCATTTGCCGTCCTTAATCAAGTTAGTCCAGGGACAGGTTTATTTGTACCTTACCACTTGTTGCTCAGTTGTACTTAAAGGAGTTAACATTTTTTTTTTCTGTGAGGATAAAGCTGTGTTCTGAAAACAATCACGACCCTTTCCCTCGTCTGTGGGGCCTGGACATAGACCCCCCCATGCCGAGTGTGCTGGCCCTTGCATAGCCCTACTCAGACCCCAGCCTATAGCTGCTCATAGCTGTCACCCTGGGAATGAGGGAAGTGGAAGTAGGGTGAGGTGGGAGGGACAGGATGGGGCAGGATGGGGACTGCTCCTGGGGAGCAACTCTGTAGAGAAGAGGGCTTCTCCCCCAAGGTGCCAGAGACCAAATCCATGACCTCATCCATGCCAGGCAAGTGCCCCAGCATTGAGCTATATTGCCAGCCCAAGAAACTTTTATCATTTTAATTTTTCTATAAAATCAAGATCCTATTTGTTTTTGTTTTCGCCTTTCTCCTTAGGCTAAATGTTTAGAAAGTGAGAAAAATGGAGCCCTCAACAAGATCCTAAAAGGCAATATTCGCTTGGGAAAGTTAGAGGAGAAAATCAAGGTAAGTGGTGCTTTACTCTCAGAGAGCCCATTTTCCCATGGGAAAGAGGTCTTACAAATACAGATTTTTCTGTTTTAAAAAATGACTTTGGGGGTGGAATTTTATAAAATTAATTTTATCAGTACATTTTAAATATGCATAATGATAACATACATCATATGGAATTTGTCCCTGTACATGATGTGGGGGTGGGGGAATGAGACAAGGTCTTGCTCTGTATACTTCAGGCTGACCTTGAACTCACTATGTAGCCCAGACTGGTCTTGAACTTGCAGCGGTCCTCCTGTCTCAGGTCTCAAATGCTGAGATTACAGGCATACAACATCACACTGAATCAAGAAAATGACATTTCTGCATGCATGTGTCACTAGTCATCACAGAGGAAAGCAGTACAAGGTCTTGCTGTCAGAAACAGCACCTCTTATTTGAGTGTTGGCAAACCCATGGCACATATGCTGTAGCAGGCGTGCAGAAGAGCCCTCTCTGTCGGCATTCGAGGCAAGTCGCCCCAGTAGCTGAGGATCAGATACTCAGGTTGAATTGCAGTGTTGCTATTTTGTGATAAATACATGGATTTTGGGTTGCAGTCTGGACATTAGTCTCTAAACTGTACATCATCACTGTCTTAACTCATCAGATAAATTTTGGTCCTACACAACAAAATACCATACAGGAGTTTGTTAAAAAAAAAAAAAAAAGATTAACAGAAATTCTCCAGGTTGTATTGCTAAGTGACTGTCCTGCTCTGTCATCAAGCCCAGCATTTTTGGTCCTAGTAGAGAGTGGTGTTGGCCTCTTGCCCTCACCCTGATTGTTCCCTCCAGTTTCTCTGCCCAGAGCAGGCATTGTCACTGTACCCACCCTGGGTCTGTCCCTAACCAGTTCCCCTCCTTGAAGACTGTGTCCCAACTACTGGTCCCCACCCTGCAGTCACAGCCTTACCAGACAGCCCACCCTGGCTTCTACTGGGCCAGCCAGGGGGGAGCACCAGCAGGGGAAGGTCCAGGGGAAGCTGAGGCAGGAAAATCCCAAGTTACTGATATAGCAAGACCCTTTCTCAAAAATTTAAAAAGGCTGGGGATATAGCTCAGTGCAAAGGTTCAATCCTTAGTACTGCAAAAAAAAAAAAAAAAAAAAAAATCAATTAAATAAATAAATAATGATGAAGGAGGCCTTCATAATGCTAAAAATTAGAAATAATATGTAGTAGTTGTGAATACCTGTGTATTAACACAGCAGCAAATTTATAAAGTATAAACTGTAGGAAACACAAAGGAAAAATGAAAACATAGTAATAAATGTGGAAGATAAATAAAGCATGATAAGAAGAACTTTAATTTCTCTCTTACGACCAAAGTTAAACAAAAATAAGTAAAGGTATAGAAGATATGACAACATGATGAATAGGATGTGTTTATATATATATAAATAATAAAAGCACAAATTGTTCACTTTGGCTACAAAGAATACTTCAGTAAATCCCTAAAGTAGAAATACTGTAGACATTTGTTGATTACAAATGTAAAAACCAGAAATTAATAAACAAAATCAGAAGGCAAAAAGGTGATGCACACCTGTAATTCTGGGAGGCTGAGGAAGGAGAATTGAAAGTTCAAGCCCAGGCTGGGCAATCTAGTGATTTTAGCAAGACCCTGTCTCAAAATAAAAAATAAAAAAGGGCTGAGAACGCAGCTCAGTGGAAAGGCCTTGGGTTCAATCCCCCCAATTTTTTAAAATTTTAAAAAAAATTTATTTCACCGGGAAATGTAAAACATGCATGCAACCAGTTCTGCCAGAGGGACTGTAAAAACTGGTTATCAGAATATCTTTAAAACAATGAGTTCGTATGAACTACATAGCAGGACTATGACAACAATTGTGGATATCCTCAGCTGTGAGAACCTTGAATATCATACAATAAAAATGAAAGAGGGCTAATAAATGAGCCAGGCTTCTATCTCTGTCATCCGTTTGACAATAGAGAATGACAGGCCTTGCTGGCTTCTTTTTGTTTTTTTTGATACCGGGAATCAAAGTTGGGTCCTTGCACTTGCACAGCAGGCAGCAAAACCACTGAGCTAAATCCCTGGCCCCTTGCTAGCTTCTTGTATGGGGTTTCCCTCATAAGGCACAGCAGTGTTTGTTGTCAAGTGTGGACATTAGTTCTTTGGTTTTTGTGGTTTGATTTTTTTTTTTTTACCGTGGGTTTTTACAGTGTTGCCCAGGTTGGCCTTAAACTCCTGGGCTGAAACGAACCTCTTGCCGCAACCTTCCAAGTAGCTAAGACTATAGATGCCTGCTCCCATGCCTGGCTGTGGTACTAGTTCTTAAGTTATCAGTTACCCAGTGGATAAAAGTTGTCCTGGAAGAAAATGTAGAAGTAGATTAATTTGCAAGAACAGCCAATTTGTTCAGTGATGTTGATATATTTTATTTAATTTTTATTAATGCCATATAAAAAGATATAATACAAACTAATTTAGTTTTATTGTATCTGAAATTCTTTTATCACTTTTTATGATGTGTGTGTCTGTGTGCATGTGTGTATGTGTGTATTGTATTGGGAATTGAACCAGGGCCTTCACACTGAACTACATCTCCAGTCCTTTTTTCTTTTTATTTATTTGTTTGCTTGTTTGAGACAGGGTCTTACTACATAGTTCAAGTTGGCCTTGAACTCACTGTGTAGCTCAGGCTGCCCTTCAACTTGCAGCAATCCTCCTGCCTTAGCCTTTTGGATGCTAGGATCATAGGCATGCACCACCATGCCTGGCATGCATTCATGCATATATGCATATATATATATATATATATATATATATATATATATATATATATATATATACACACACATACATACACACACACACACACACACACTTTTTTTTTCTTTTGAGACAAGATCCTGCTAAGTCTCCCAGGCTGGGCTTGAACTTGGGATCCTCCTGCCTCAACCTCTCAGAGTGCTGGGATTAGTCTTGCACTACCACACCCAGCTCTTTTTATAACTATTAGGATCCCCAAGCTTGCTGTCTCTGTTTGGCCTTACACAGGGCTTATTGAACTTCATTGACCCCTAACAGCATGAAAATAAGTGGGTAGAGTGACCAGGAGGCAGCACCCTGCTCACAGAGCCCCTTGTTCCCTCAGGGATACAGGAAGCAGACTTCACAGAAGCTGGGCAACATCAGCTACCGTCTGCTGGAGCAGCAGGAGGACTTCGCTGGCAAGACAGCTCGCTACCAGCAGGAGATGAGGCACTTACACCGGATGCTGCAGGACAAGCAGGAGGTGCTGGACGAGGCCCTGCAGAAGAGGAGGTAGTGCCTCTGCATCCCAGGGCCCCCGGGGACATCTGTCCTCTAGATGTTTCAGGAAATTTCCCAGTAAAATCCTCAGGGCCTGTTGTTTGCTTGCTTAATGTTGTTTTCACATTTTGGTTTTATTTGAGTTTAGCATTGGCCTTGATTTTTATTTTCTCATTTTCTTTAGTCTCTTTTTAAAATTCATGTTAGAGTTAGACCTCCAAAAACACTCCAGAGCTCTGTGTCTCCTTTTATTCTCCTCTTTGGTATTTTTGTTTCATTTCTTTTCCTTGGGAGATTTTATTAATTTTTTATTAAATGCTTTATTTCTTTTTTTTTTTAATTTCTGAGAACTTGTAGATCTCTGATCATTTGCCTTTTTGTAAGATTGTAATCCTAAGCTTATGGGCTACAGTATGTTCCAAGGAGGTGAGGTATTGCACTCCTTGCACCTCTGTCCTCAAAGCAGGGCAGGTAGCACTGTCAGCGTGTGACAGACACTAGAGGGCATCATGTGCTTTGTGAAGGGAACCTGGCGGCCCTCACGTGGTTTCGGGTTCCCAAATGCTGGCCTCTTTGACAGCTGGAACATAAACTGAAGCATTACCAAAATTCAGTACTTCTTGGCTGTGTTTTTTTTTTTTTTTTTGAGTGTAATCATGTTTGATGCCATTGGAATGCGGATATCTGTCTGTGTTCCCCACCACAAGAAATGATCTCACGTGTCTGGGCCAAAGAGAAATTGGACTCCAGAGGCAGCGAAAGTGAGGCTTTCAGTGCAAACACTTGCAAGAGAATTGGCTGTACAGAGACAGGCACCCTCCAGTTGAGAAGCTGTTTTCACTCTGAACTCGCAGGGGTCCCTCCCGCATCTCCCCGGGGGGCCTGGGATCGGGGTTCACAGTCTATCCCGGGCAATCTATTTCACCCCACACCTGTTGTCCTCCCTCACCCCCTCTCGTTTTATCTCCTCTTCCTTCTGTATTTCGCTGTGTAGTTATTTTTAGCCTGTTGGCATCCCAGGATTCCAGAAGACTTGTTTAGCATCTTATCTCTGGTCTGAGTCTTTGTACAGACTGTGTATCCTTGTCTGCTAGTTGACAGAGCTAAGTATAAGGGCTTATTAGAATGATTAGTGAAATATGGACCAATTAAAAGTATTTTTACCTCTACACCCAGTAGCCAGATTCTGGTGTGTGTGCGTGTGTGTGTGTGCATGTGTGTGTGTGTGTGTGTGTGTGCTATCAGGTAGTTCCTTTAGAAATGGGTCACCAATTAAACATATTCCAGGTCCTTCCTGCCTTGAACAAAGAATTGGACAATAGAAGCCAAAAATGCCAAAAGTTTTAAAAGTGAGGGGTGAAGGAGAAAGGGAAAAATTGGCTCTGGAGAGCAAACTTGGGCCAAATAAAAGAGAAGAAGGATAAAAAAAACATACCCCCTGTGTCTGGGAGGCACAGGGTGGGCTACTGTAAGAGTCACGATAACAGGCTCCTTGTAGCGTCTGTCCTTGTATGGAGTCCACATCTCATGGGAACCCTCGAAAAGCTCTACATACATGGTCCTAGGAATTATTTGGCGCTGTCCTGGGGTCTTGTAATTGACTGGTCCCTTGCATTTCCCAGCCAGCTCTGCCACACCCTATCTCCTGTCTCAGTGCTGGAGATGAAACCCGGGCAAGCACTCTTCACTGCACCACACCCCAGCCCCTGGAAGACTCTTCTTAGTGCCAGGCAAAGCAAATTCTTATCTAACATAGACTTTGTAGTCACAGAAATTCTGACTGCTGTAAAACAGTCACTTTGGAAAAAGACCAGTACCAAGTTTTTTGCCAGACAGGAGGTTTAGAATTACATTTATTTTTCATTTTTTTGCCCTCTGATGGTTTGAAAATTATATATTCCTCTTTTGTGATTACCTTTAAGATCTACCATGGACACTTAGTTTTAAAAGTCTAAATTTAATCAGCATTTCTATATTTCTCCCCAAATATGAGATATGATGCTTTATTTTAATTATTTCTACTTTTTTTTGGTACTAGGATTAAATAAACCCAGGGCCTTTGCACTAAGCTACATCCTCAGCTTTTTTTTTTTTTTTTTTTTTTGAGACAGGGTCTTGTTATGTAGTTCAGGCTGGCCTCGAACTCACAGCGATCCTCTTGCCTCAGCCTCCCAAGGGCTAGGATTATAGGCATGCACCACCATGCCTGGCTCTGAACTTTTTTTTTTTTTGGTATTGGGGATCGAACTCTGGTCCTTGAGCTTGCGAAGCAGGCGGTGGAACCACTGAGCTAAATCCCCAGCCTTCAGCTCTTTTTTTTAATGACATAGGTTCCATTAAATTGCCCAGGCGGGGCTTTAATTTAGAATCCTTCTGCCTCAGCCTCCCAGAGTGCTGGGATTACAGGCGTGCAGCACCTGGCTTATTTGTACTCTTTTTTTTTTTGGTACTGGGGATTGAACTCGGGACCTTGGGCTTTTGAGGCAGGCAGTAGAATCACTGAGCTAAACCCCCGGCCCTATTTGTACTCTATATGCTGTCATTGTCTAGTCCAAGTAAATCTAAGTAAAAACAACAATCTATTGCTATCATTTTAGCCCCCAAAATTAAATGTTGATTGCTTTTTCTAGATACAGACACCTACCTTGACAAGTCAGTTTCTTTCAGCACATTCCACTGTCATCTTTTTCATTGCTGTTGTTGAGAAGCCTTTTATCATTCTTAAAAACAGGTGGTCTGTCACTTCTCTTGCCTATTTATTTATATTTTAATTAATTTATTTTTGCAATACTGGGGACTGAGCCCAAGGCCTTTACACTGAGCTACATCCCCAGACCTTTTTTCACTTTTTAATATATTTTTTTGTTTGAGCCAGGGTCTTACTATGTAATTCAGGCTGACCTTGAATTCACTGTGTAGCTCAGGCTGGCCTCGAACTTGTGGTGATCCTCCTGCCTCAGCCTCCCAAGTGCTGGTATTACAGGCATGTGCCACTGTGCTCAGCTAAACTTTTTGAATTTGGGTTTCACTAAGTCACTAAGTTAACTGGGGTAGGCTTGAACTTGTGATTCTCCTGCCTCAGTTTCCCACCATGCTGGGTATTCCAGGCATGTGCCACCAAGCCCAGTTCGTGCCTTTTGTAAAGTTCTCTCTGTCTCTTGTGATCTCGGTTTCTTTTTTTTTTTTGGTACTGGGGATCGAACTCGGGACCTTGCACTTGCGAGGCAGGCGCCGGAACCACTGAGCTAAATCCCCCGCCCTCGGTTTCATTGTTATATATTTATGAATTTCTTTTTATTTGTCCACCTAGAATAAAGTACACTCTGTACAGCTAATTTTGTGTCTTTTATTAGTCCTAGAAAATTCTTAGTCATTGGCTCATAAAAATGTCTTTTCTCACAGTTTCTAAACTTCCTTCTGGAACTCAAATTAGATGTTTGTCAGGGTTTGCCGTTGATTCCCCTTATTCCTTATTTTTATATTTTTCTGTCTCTTTGTTTTTCTGGTCTACATTTTGGATAAGTTCTTCAGCTCAATATTGCTGTTTACTAATTCTTTTCTCATCTGTTTAACCAAGCCATTTTTTTAACAACTCTATATTTCATTTTCAGAAGTTCTATTTGATAATTTTGAAAAGCTACCTATCATTTAAAAAATAAACTCTTGGTCTTTGGTTATTTTTATACATCTTTTATTTCTTTTAATATCTCATTCATAGTTATTTTGTATTGTATGTGTATCTCAAATTGGGGTAAGGGTAGTGTTTAAATCTTGTTTTGTTGCTGGGCTTGGTATCAAATGCCTGTAATCCCAGTACTTGGGAGGCCGAGGCAAGGGAATTGCCATGAGTTTGAGACCAGCCTGGGCTACATAGTGAACTCAAGGCTAGTGTGAATTACATGCAGAACTGTCTCGAAAAAACCCAAAACAAACAAATACATAAATCTTGTATTGTGACTCTTGCCTTATTGGGCTTCTTTTCTTTTTTTTTTTCAAACTGACACATAATAATTATATAAATCTGTGGGATATAAGGTGATTTTTTGATACTTGTATACCTTGTGTGATATCAGATCTAAGTAATTAGCAATCTGTTGCCTCAAACAGTTATCATTTTTTTGTAGTGAAACCTGCAAAATCTTCTCCTTGTTATTTGGAGATATACTGTACAATAAATTACTGCTAACCATGGTCACCTATTATGTAATACAACACTAGAACTTATTCTAACTATAATTTTGAGGCAAACATGGTGGTACATGCCTATAATCCTAGCACTCTGGGAGGCTGAGGCAGGAGGATTGTAAGTTCGAGCACAGCCTGGGCAATTTAGCAACATAGTGAGACCCTGCCTTAAACTCGCATGCTTCTATGAGATCACCATTTTAGATTTCTCATATGAGATCATGTGGGCTTTTTATTCTTATTTCACTTAATTTTCTCCATTTGCGCCAACTCTCAGTAGGCATCATGGGCCTCCAAAGGAAGAAATATCTCACAAGAAAAGTGACTGTGGATCAGTCAGCCTGGCCACCCTCAATATTAAACAACAGCACTAAGTCCACCTGCCAATTCAGTTTCTAGAATTTTCCAGAACCATCTGGCAGTTTCTGAGGAGCAGGCCTTCCACACCTGCTGTCCTGGGCAAAGGCTTGAGCTTCTCTCCCACACTCCTGGGGACCTTGCGGCCCTGTGAGGTGGTGGCCACGGCCAGGCCATTGTGCTGTGGTGTCTGACTGGCTTGGGTCAGCCCCACGGTTATTCTGTTTCACTCTTATATGTGCATGTGTTCATTCTTTAGGGAATAGAGGATTTGTGTCTTAATGCCAAAGTCAAGAAGGCAAAACTTCAAGACGTAAAAATAAGAAATCCTCTCTCACACCTTTTTGAGCCATGGTCTCTCCGAGTTACCAAGTTGCTATGGCAGGGCTTGAACATTCGAACCTCTTGCCTCAGCCTCCCAGAGTGCTGGGATTACAGGCCTGCACCACCACACCTGGCTTTAAGTAAGA